TTGCACAAAAAAGACAAAATAATTTAAACAATATTAAAATATGCATGTATTATAGTGTGACGTGGATGGCGTAGCGGGAGGTGGTGGTCATGTGAACTCTGTGATCTCGCGAGTGACATCACATACCCCCACTCCATCCATCAGTGTGCAACGCTCGGTAGACACCCCTTTCCCCACGGTGACGTAACATGGGACACCGCAGTTGCTACATAGCAGTAAACAACTCCCGGCAGCGCTGCCCAGCAATGCCTTTGTAAACATGGCGGGGAGTCCGTGCAACGACTGTTCCTAGGCAGTCAGTAAACACGACGTTACGCAACAGTGGTGCCTCTTACGTAACTGTTTTCTGTGTTGTCTGTAACGGGGCTAAATAAGGAGCAGCGAACACTATTCAACAGTTAGTTACGAGTTAGCCAGGGAGTCAGACAGTCAATGTGTGATTAAGAGTGACACTGTGTGGATCATTAAGTTGCCGAGAGCAGTGGAAGTAATTGTGACACTGCCGATGGCAGTAGTTGTGAAACTGTAAATTGTGTAAGTGTAAAAGTGAATGTGCAATAAATCTGCTAGATCCAGAATGGCATGAAGTTATTTGTCACGTTACATACCCAACACGTGACAATTTGGTGTCAGAACAGTGTGAAGTTACTTGTCGCGTGTTATACACCCAACATGTGACAATATATACACCGTTCTCAACTTTAACAGCTTTTTATGGGCTGCACACAAAGAAGTCTGGTGTAGCACTTATGTTCTAGACACGTATTTGTGAGGTGTTTGGTTCAAATCCCAACTACACTGACTGAAAGTTTTCACAGTTTTCCTAAGTCACTCATACAAATGCTGGGATAGTATCTCAATTATGCTATGACCCTTCCAAATCATTTCCAAGTCATTATTCACTAATCATCCTACAATCTGATGCTATACTGTCTGAGCTACTGACAAGGTTGTCACATTATTCACAGAGAAAATCTATGAGTTACAAATAAGACCTTTCCAAAGTCTCTGGTACCTGAAAGTTTGTAACACTAATACCTATTATTTAGCCCTATGTTGAGTCACTTAAACATAATTTTCATCATCACCACCAATTTTTGACACATCTTAATATTACTGAGCAAACTTCATTTTGGTCTTCTAAGGGGGCACCCTATCTAAATTCAGTAAATGTTTCATTTATCTCTTAGCCAAGTTAGATGTTGAATCTATCACATTTTCATTGATTAAAGCACCATAACCATGAGAGATGAGGTAATGGGTTAAATTCCTCATATTGACTTTTATGCCAGGATAGTTCAGCAGGTACAGCAACTAGGCTATGGGCTCACTTGCTCACTCACTCATGGAGCTGAGCCCTTCTTGAGAAGCCACCATTTGTGCAGCTACTCAAGAACTTCCCAGCATTTTAGGGAAGCCTAAGGTTCATTACCATGTTCAGAAGAGCCCTCCACTGGTCCCTATACTGAGCCAGATCAATCCAATCCATACCATCCCATCCTATATCTCTAAGATCCAGTTTAATATTGTCCACCCACCTACACATTGGTCTTCCCGGTGGTCTCTTTCCTTCTGGCTTTATCACAAATATCCTATATGCATTCCTCTTCTCTCCCATTCATGCTACATGCCCTGCACATCTCATCATCCTTGATTTGAGATTTCTAATTATACTTGGAGAAGAGGATAAGTTATGAAGCTCCTCATTATGCAGTTTTGTGAAACCTCCTGTCACTTCATCTCTCTTTGGTCCAAATACTCTCAACACCCTGTTCTCATAATGGGCTGGATGACCAGAATTCAATTCCAAGCAGGGCCCATCCAGCTCTCTATCCAGGGGCCCTATCCCCCAAGAAGTATAAGTGGTAGGAGCATGCAGCTGACCACTCACCTCCATGTAGTGTTGAGGTCAAGAATGGTGCAGCTATACCTTCACTCACCCATATGCCTTCATGGCACAGTATTTAATTACATAATTATGTACAGGAATACCTTTACCATTATCATTTCTTGATGAGCAGAATAACTATGAAATATTCAAGGCAGACCCTGTACCATGGACTTACAGTGAAATATAATTAATTCAGATAAACTGGGGGAAGGGGTACTCTGAATAAGTTAAAAAGTCTAAATTATATGTAAATATTTTCCACTTGTAGTTGGAAGTGTTCTTTTTAAAAGCAGAAAATTGTATGCTTTTCAACACTAATTATATATTGTGTATTCTGATACTTCTCTAAGCTGACATAAAGTGGAAAATTGTATCATTACATCCTCGTTTCTCAAAAATCTTTGTTCTGTGTGTGTGTGTGTGTCTATATATATATATATATATACAAGCATATTTGGACTGATTTGTTTATATATATAAACAAAGGCAGTCCAAATTATAGAGGGTCAAAACTAGTGAAGTTTTACAGTATTTAGTTACTTGTTACTTATGTTCCAGGCATTAAACAAGGCATTTATACCTGAAGAAGATCATAGTTAGAGCATGCTTCATAGGACAAAGTACTTCTTGGCTCATCTAACAACTGTGTCAACTATACAAGATGTAACCTAAAAGCCTGGCACAAATGTAAGCATATTCTTCCATCCTCCTCACAAATAGAAAAATTGGCCATATAGAAATGGGTTCAAAAAGCCTCCTTCAGGGCCACAGCTCTCTTTTCTTTTTTGAAATTTATAATGCATCTCACTTCTTGCCCCCCCACCCCATGCATGCCATCAATATATACTTTTGTAATGTTTGTTTCAAACTCATTTTTCCTTTCACTTGGGATAAAATTACCATTTTCTGCTCAAGAAGATTTCTGTTCAGAAGTTTAAAAGTTAACCAAAAGTTATCACATAAACTTATATCCTCAGTATATGCAACAGAGGTACTAACAAACAATTCTTACATAACTTGCAAGAAACACTGTACTGAAATAAAAAAAAAGGCAATGTGATTGTGGAACGGTGAAATCAAAGTATGCCACTATGTAAGATTTGAGGCTTTCACGGCGGTGACTATGAAGAAAGCAGTCTTCTGGGCTTTGGCGCCGTGTATATGTGGTGTTAACCGACGTTTCGGAGGAACCGTTACCGTGTCTCACGGTGTTGTCGCTTGCAGATTTACCTATACTTTTTCTTCAACCCTGAAGATGGGGGCGATACGTTCCTCCGAAACGTCGGTTAACACCACATATACACGGCGCCAAAGCCCAGAAGACTGCTTTCTTCAAAGTATGCCACTGACAATACACAGAGGATAGTTATCTAACCTGTCCAATCCCTGTCACCTTCACCATCTTCCTGGCACATTTCTTCTAGAACAGTGCACAGGAACTTAGGGGTAACATTTGGTGAAGAAGGTGTTTCAGATGTTGGTGACAGTGGCACAGTCTGCCTCCACCCTGTTGGATGCTTAACTTCAACCTCTAGCCATTCATTCTCAAAACTCTGAAGATCACCCAATGGGTTCAGATACTCTCCATCTATAACAGATAAAGTTACATTTAAAGTTACTTCACAAATTTAAAACTTTTATGTACTCTTTGCAGCCTATAAAATGTAGAAAAGTAATGTCAGTGTGTTAGGTTGCGTGTTTCATTTCCACTTCACCTTTATGTGTGGGAATTTTAAACCTCCCAGCACAACACAGTTGGTGGCTGGATTTTAACTCTGGGTAAGAACTATTCACTATCTAGGAATAGGGGATATTAAATATCCTAGTATTAAGGGCCAATGGTCATGCTTTGACTAAATACTGATACTGAAAAAAGGTACACTCAGCAAGCTAAACTGCTTTCATGCACCAATGCAATTAACAACCAATACAATGGAAGACTATTAATGAAATCTGGTACTGACAGTCTACACTAGCCCTTCACAAGCCAGTATTTATGTGGTGCAGCAACCCTGTCACATCATTCATATTAAAAATATTCATCATAAGTTTTCTGAATGGCTCTGGTGCTACTTCATCAGAGGTAGTTCTAAGACAAATCCGTAACATTAGGTTTTGGTCTTCATAGCCTCTTGATACATCTATCCTAGAGAAGAGAATCTGTGATTCATACAATGAAGTATCAGTAATTCTGATTAACTTTACAATACTAGAGATGAACCTTCAAAAAAGGAACACTAATATCAATGAGATATAGAACAATATGAAGACTGCACATGAAAGAATGTGAACTCTAAAGTGAAGTGTATTTCTTCACCCTCATTACCTGTCAATACAGTCACACTTTAAAATGGCTGAGTATACATTTTCTTCAAGTGAAAGAAACACAGATATGTGAAAAATATCAGTGCAGAGACATCGCACATATATTTTCATGCATAACTGACCTTGAGTGTTACCTTACAAATTAAACTGACCTTTGTTCAGTACACCAACCGCTGATTACTGAATACTGAACACAAATTTTATTTCATTGGTAAGCGCTGTTTCGAGAAAACTGATTGAGATTTGTAAGTTTTACCTGAAAATTTTATCAGGTTGATGTACATTTAACAAAGGACAAAAGAAAATTAACTCATAGCTTCATGACTTAGTGTCATTACTGCATGCATCCTGCTGTGTATTACTATACATTATCATTATGGCTGTCAACACAACAAATTTAAAATAAATATATTGTTACTGTATTAACATCTGTTTATTATTCTGCAACTGCTACACGTTTTGATACAGCTGGATTGACATCAGGCAGTTTTCATGATATAATGCTTGTTACTGAATTGTGTTTCTAATATGGATCCACATTGACAATTATATTAATATAAAGTTCGCTACCAATTTCCATATCTTGTTATACCACTAAATTGTAATATTAGTCATACTGGTTAAAATGTTACAACACTGTTTAAAATCTTTGTCAGAATGTTACCAGTCTTTGTTAAATGTTTATAAAATTTATATTAATATAATTGCTAATATGGATCCACACACACACAGTTTAGAAACACAGTTGAGTGTTACATCATAAAAACTGATTGATGATGATCCAGCTGGATGTAAACATGCAACAGATACAAAATAATAATCAAATGTTAATACAGTAACTTTCAGTGTACTTAATGATGCTCTTTCAACTACATTAATTTTATAACATTTTATGGTCAGATGAGCATGAAAGGATTTTAAACTAGGCATGTATAATTTTAACGATCTACTCAAGGACTTCCCTGGAAGGACTAAGAAAAATATATACTTATGTATGGCTAGACCCTAAAGGGTGTAATGACAACTTACTGTGGATATATCCTGTATCAAATATCATATGGATTCATAAATAAATATGGAAAGTGGAACATGAAAATGGATGAAAAATAATGAGCCCCAACTTCCCAATAAGGAGTTCTTTGTTTTGCACAATGTACACACCTTGAAAGTTACTCTAAGTTTGGTATATATGTAGTGACAAACAATTTAATGCATATTTAAAGTTGAAGGTATAGCACACTTGGACAAAATTAAGGAAATCCTTCATCTACATATGTTATCCAAGCAACAGCCTCTGTGAAGTTCCTTCTGCAAACTGGAAAGACCAGAATAAAATTACAAAAAAGAACTAACCTTTCTGATCTTTCTCTTGCTGGACTATATGGTACAGGTAGAAGCCCACAATGAATGGATGGGAGAAATCACCTGATGCATGGCAAACCATTTTCTCTTTCAGCATTTGCTGAAAAAAATGACAAGAGATCAATATATTCAATTCTGGTTACATAATTCCTAAACTATAGTATGACAAATAATGTGAAAACCTAATTAAGGTTTCTTTGGGGACTAGTGGATTTCGACACTAAACTGAGAAAAATCTTGAATGAAGAAAATTTTACACTGACCTTACTGACTCAATTAAAGGGAAATTAAGTCAAAATATGGAATTAATGTTCTTATATGAGATGAGCAAATGGGAGGTGGGGGGTCTGCATTGCCCGCAAGTGCAGTCCTCCTAGATGGTTCCAGAAACTCCTGAAGGCTGAGATTGACCGAGAAGCTGTGAGGAACTTCCTAGGACTGTGCGTATATAAAAGTAGTTGCAAAATTCTTGCTGTCAATCTGTGCTTAGAGGTAGCATGGTAAAGATGTGTCGAAAAATAGAGCAGAGAGTTTCATGAGTCCAACTGAGTGGAGCAAAGATGAGAAACGAGTTCAGTGGACTGGTGTTAGAGTACAGTGGGCATAGACAGACATCAACATATAAGTGACTACTGATGGTAAGACAATAATTGTTCCAAATAACAGAAATTTAACAATATTTATATTTCATCCTTGTCCCTACCATGAAAGTAACTCAGATGTTGATGCAAGTCCGCTAGGCATTCAATAATTCAATCTGACAGATACTAAGAAGCTGGTTTCCTGTTGCACATAATTCACATATATTACTATGCAAAATACTTGATTTTATACTTTTTCTGTTATAGACACTCAACAAAGACAACTCTCGTATGACAGTTATTCAATGTTTGTCACAAAAAAAATGGGCCAGGAACTTTCTGCACAGCTGTAGCACTAAGCATGCCAATAAATTCAGTAAGAGATAATGTCAAGTGCCCAGAAATGGTCACCGTTTCCAGAGTCACCACTTAGCAAGGGGTATATATGCCATAATAATATAAACAAAATCCATTATATGTATACAGTGGCCATCTTGTAGTGCACTCAATTTCATCTGTCACTTCACAACATGTTTCGGCAACATAGTGCCATCATCAGGTGTCCCAATTACGTCAATCTATTGCATTGCCTGCCCTACAACACTCGCAGCTAAGAAGGGAACACACATCACAAGACGCGGTTTACACAGAAAATAAGAAAAACGACCCCGTAGTGAACGAACCACATGCAAGTTTTAATTAAGACAAATAAGATGAATTATCTTAACAAGTTTTAGCGAGTGTAAATTTATCATAATTGACAAATACGGACTTTTTAAATACTTTTTAAATGGTGTTGTGAAAATATATGAGGGTAGGCAATGCAATAGATTGACGTAATTGGGACACCTGATGATGGCACTATGTTGCCGAAACATGTTGTGAAGTGACAGGTGAAATTGAGTGCACTACAAGACGGCCACTGTATACATATAATGGATGAAAATCAGTGTAACAGGACGCTAAAATATAACATTATAAACAAAATCATAAAACATCTAGCCCCATAAAAACAAAATACTGCCGTTGACCCACAACACCAGAAACAGAATGGGCCACTTTCACATACAGTGGAAAAGAAATAAGAAAAATCACAAAATTATTCAAGGACACACAAATAAAAACAGCATTCAGACTGCAGAACACAACAGAAAACATACTGAAACAATATCCACAAACACAACAAATGTGACATTTACCAAATTAAATGCTTAGACTGGCCACTAAAATACATAGGACAAACAGGCAAAGCGTCCAACAGCAGAAACAAAGAAATTACACAGGCAACTAGAAATGATAAGGGTAGTTCAGGGTACTCGAACCACATATTAAACACAGGACATAAATATGGAATTGTAACAGATACACAGGACATTAGAAGGACATAATCATCAAATTCCTTGTAAAATTCAGCAACTTGGTCTTGCTGTTCTTTATACCCATCCATTCAAGCCTCCATTTTACTGCCAGCACAATTTTATTAAATTTTTCAGCATTTCACAGGGTTCATAAGTTAATGCTCACTTGCTGCAATGCATGACACACTTCAATGTAGTAGGAGCAATAAAATTGGACAGCCAAGACACATAAATTATTAATATTGCAAAATGGCTGTGTACAGCACTATTAGGACACTCCTGCTATAATGCAGCCATCGATTTTCAACTTCTCCCACCCAGCTACACTGTCGCTCTCTCAGATGGTTTGAACAACGCTAATTGATCTCCTGCTCTCCAACATGATACTGATAACAACAGTGTTGCAAGAGTGGTATTTCTGCATCTTTTACAACTATCTAAATGGCGAACTAACAACAATGAACAGTGACTGGGTTTCATACCATTCCAGATTATGATGTCACAACGAAGAAAGAGGAAACACAATTCTCTTCTGATATTACAGATTTCAATGACCTGCTCAGACCAGTGGCTGAACCAAAGGTGACTAATGACACAACAGAGTAAATACTGCTGACAGACTCCCCTTGCCTCAAGGTCCTTTATTAGCTTATGTGTGGTGAACACAGCCCATCTGTCCTATTCATTCCCATCTCATGCTCTGCCTTCCAACACACATCACTGCAAATACATCTGCAAGGAATTCTAGCTGTGGCAGCCCCTTTCACCATTTTCACTACTCCCATTAGACCATCTCTCCTTTTCCCACCCAAAACTGGCACTGCTAACTTGGGGGGAGGGGCAAGAAAAATAAACCTATCCCTGTACCAGGACATGAAGGCCCATAGGGTTGTGAGACGTTGAGGGACCCACATTATCTAGACAATTGGCTCAAAGATGGCAGTAAGGTTGTCAGCCTCTCACACCGGCCACGCTTTACTCCCCAGGAAAATTATTTAATTAATTCCTGGTACTCATTTCTGTTAGAGGCTGAGTGAACCCCAGGGCCATAGCGCAGCTGGAATGATTAAGTCAACTGAAAAAAATCCAATGACCTCATTGGGACTTGAACCCATGACCTTCCGGCTTGTAGCATAGCCCCTCAACCAACTACGCTACCCCATGGCCCCCAAGGAAAAAAGAAAAGGATGAAAACACATGTCCACATTTATAAAAATGTATCAAGCATGGATGCACTCATAGCAATCTATATATAGCGATGGGCCATGGGCTGGATGGCTAGGGTTCAATTCCTGGCAGGGACAAGAGATTTTTACCTACTCCAAAGTATCTACCCTGACTTTGAGGCCCAACCAGCTGCCTATACAATGGGAACCAGGGGTAAACTGTCAAGGACATGAAACTGACCTCTCATCTCCACCTAATGCTGAGATCAAGAATGGTGAAGCTGCACGTCCATTCCCATCCACATATTCATGTTGTGGTACTTAACTAATTAAGCAAAAGAAAAACTTTACCTTACCTTTACCTTACCAGATATTCTCAAGTAATTAGTAGTTGACTGTAGCACTAATGTTAACTACACATACCTCCACCCTTTAGTCTTCATATTATTCAGATCAGCGGTTCAGTTTTGGGATTATCTGATATAGAAGGCTGTTTCTTAGGAAAAATGTCTGGATGGACTAGATGGGGTGAGTATCTGGGCAGCCAATTTTCTGTGTGACAACAAAAAGGTTGTAATCTGGGCAAACACTGACCTCCATGATATCAACTGCTTTCTCTTCATGCAGCACTCCCTCTACATGGCATATCAACCACTGCACAGCATCTGCACTTACGAATGTATAGCTTGGCAAGCTGGGATGGTGGGTTAGAAAACCAACACCTGACACTGTATTTCTCAGAGCCTCAAGAATTTCTGACAGTGTTGCCGTGCTTTTCAGTCGATGGATGTCAAAATGACTCTGGCTGGAATGACATGTTTAAAAATATCATTAATCATTACATACAGAGTAGCTCACACACATTCATTAATACATGAGTGTCACTGCTATTTCAGAAGTTCATTATGTATCATTATGAAACATAATGCCACAAAAACAGAGGAGCCTCAGTACATTAGAACTTGGTAATTTTTTCATAAGAAATTTTATGTAGGATAGAGTTTAGATAGCTAGTTATTTAGAGAGGGTGGGTTTCCCCATGCACTTAGACCAGTATTGGTCCATTGTGCTTCCCTCTATGATATTCTACCAGTCTCTATACCCTACCGATAAATGGTGCGTACCATCAGTCCCGACCGAGCCAGTGAGTTCGGTCTCTACTGGCTTGGAGGTATCTATAATGCTTCCCCCATATATCAGAGGCCTTAGAGACTATTGTTGGGCGGGAAACGTCCTGGAATTTGGCTCAGTGATCCCCTTTGGGGATATGAGGTTCTTTTATGTGCCGTAAAGTTACAACATGGGACACACAGCTTAAAGTCCCTCCCAGAGGACTTGTTCCCTGAATTTTTCCGCCCTTAAAAATTCGACGACCTCCGCCGGGTATTTGAACCCGCGTACCACGAGTCATGAGGTGGGAATGTTACCTCTAGACTATGGAGGCCGCTTAGGATAGAGTTTACTGCAATTTATAATTTTATTTGAAACATTCTCTTGACACGATACACATTTAAGAGAGGGGATCTAGAAAAATTATTCATATTTCTTTGGAGTAATATCTGTGTTGCTCAAAGTAAACTGATAGGAACCAAAATTAAATTACTCTGACAAATTTTACTTAAACCTCCAACATCTGATTTCACTGAAATCCAATGAGTAGTTCTGGAGATGAAAGATACAGATGAAGAGAGACAGCAGCCTTTTACAGAAACATAAGTGGACTTAATTTTTAAGTCCAACCAACATCTGAAGCTCGCCATCATTCAAGACATACATCACTACATCTAGTTATGTTCACACATTCTGAATTGTGCCCACTGATAAAGAGCTTTTTACTAAATTGCTGAACAGAACTGCTTCTGTTGGGATGATTAATAAGAATTCTTACATATATCCAGTGAACATATTTATGCCATTTAAATCAATTTCTCAGGTAAGTTCCAAAGTATCTGTTTGCCAGAAATTTTCTACCCACTCACTCCAAGTTATCCCATACAAAAGGCAGCTTACTTAACTTGTTTGTCTTACTCGCAGTTTATTTAACAATGCTTTTTTTTTTAACCACACTGGTTATATAACATGAAATGGAAGGATTGTTGTGAATGACCATTTGAAAAGACATGAAAGGAAGGAGAACCAAATTACATTTGTAACAGTAGATCAGGCACCATTACCACTATTAAATATGAAGATTAAGCAATCAGCAAACTGAGAAAGAAAGAAAGGAAAAAAAAAGAAGAAGGAAAAAAAAAAAGGAATTCTTGGCAGAATTCATAATACCTAATTTTCTATAGCACAGATTTCCAGTTTTACAAATCCTGTGCTGTTAATGTCATATTTTGGTAACATAAGTTTATACTCCAACAATATATTACAATTTAGATGAGTAATTTCCAGGATGAACACGTGTGCAGATGGTCATAGGACTGAACCTACTCAAGTCAATATATTCATTCTGTTGTTGCTATAATGATCACTGTTTTCGTTATCCTCATTGTTGTCATTCCTGCTGTTACTGCTGAGATTTTATTTTTTCAAGAACCCCTTTCTATATACTGATTCTGACCAAATGAAATGTCAGATAAACACACCAAGGTCTGCAACATTACTGTTTGTATCAACACTTCTAAACAGTGTCTCATATAGAATTCATAGGTATGTTTATCACCTACATACAAAATTTCACATTCCTGTCTCTAATGTTTCATTAATTATCACTGCCAAACTGAAAGCTGCAAGGAACAATTAGTATGACTGTCTCTTGTTTTACATTGTATAAAAATATTTTAATAAAAGTTGAATGTTTTGAAGATTATTAATACATAACTTTAGAACCCCATATTATTTAGTACTAAGTCCTTCCTATTTCACAAGTTAATACATCTGCTGCACTAACATTCCTGAATATAGGATATTAAAAAGTATAGCTTCTGCTTGGTATGTGTCTATTTTTATTGGTTTTCATTTCTTCTTGGGTGGTTCTTAAGCTGTTTTCATTTCCTGTAGCTTTTCTTGAATGGCTTTCAGGAGTTTCATCATTTGTTCCATTTTTGTAGTTTGGCGATATAATGATCAAGATCCAATGCAGTATCCAATCTAACCATTTCTGACATCAGAATGTCACAATTTAGGCGTGTGACTATAGACAGAGTTTGGATTGGTGAATGAATTTATTGGACACTTATACACACAACTTGGAACTACAAGCACTTACAACACTATCACTGTACTAAACACTTTAAATTTCATTGGAGTACATGCTAACTTTTCTCAATATACACTCACTAGTCATTTCCTGGCAATGAATCTTAACAATGGAGATTTTTAAGCTTCTGTGGTCACGGCGTTGCCTGCTGGCTAACACATCAAAAAAACAAAAACAAACTCCGTGGTCTGCAGTCCACAAGCGAATTATACTGACTGAGCAACTGCTGCCTGTCGGTAAATTCAGTGCCGACTTTAGCAGATAGAGGGTGTCGCATGGTCAGCACAACAGATCCCCATGGACGTTAATCTCGGTTTTCTAGACTGGAGCTGCTAATTCCTTGAAATAGCTCCTCAATTATCCTCATGAGGCTGACTGGACCCCATTCCAGACCCCGTACTTCTCAGAAAATCTGGTAGCATCAGGAATTGAACCCAGGAGCTCTGGACTTGTAGCCACGAACTCTGACCACTAGACCACAGAGGCAGTCTGGCTAGCACTGGTGAACACTTCACAACTCATAATTCCAATTAATTATAGCGACATCTCTTCTCAACCTCCCTTGCAGAACTCAACTGAACTCATTTCTCAACTGTCCAGGTTACTTCTCAGAATGGACCAAATAGAAAACACAGTTTTTCTATTGTTGCATTCATGTCTGTTGCCATTGGTACATGTTTACCAAGCAGTTGCCCAAAAGAGGGTTGCATAACCCCATTTATTAAGCATCTGCTACCCTAGAAATGGGTGTTGTTTCGCAACTGTGACCCAGTAACAGGTCCATATGCTACTTTTTTTTAAATTCGCTTAGTGGGGGGTGGAGTCCAACTGGTTCCACTTGGCACGGCGGCCACTGATTGGCCTATTGTAGCCTGCCCCAGGTGATTATGATGATGGAGAATTTGGTGGAATGAAGAATGGCAAGGGAAACCTAAGTACTCAGAGCAAACCTGCCCCAGCACCACTTTGTCCACCACAAATTCCACTTAACCAGACCCGGGGTCGAACCCGGGCTGCCACAGTGGGAAAGCAGGTCCATATGCTACAATACATCCTATCAGCATTCACACGTAGGAAATGGGGACACTGACAAAAACCTGTCATGATACTTGTCATTCAAGCCAAGAATCAAAACGTGTATGATCTCTCCAATAAAGAGCAGGAGTGCTGCTCAACAACATTTGGTGACTTGCCTCTCATCTGCAGAGTCCTGATGATGCGGTGAGTCTGTCTGTTGTTGCTGTTGTTCAGGAGACACTGGCTGCTGACTTGAAGCCTTGTTCTCTCCCCCAGCTGCCTCAGTGGCAGGAGAGATGCGGCCGCTACCCCCTTCCACCTTCACTCGCTCCATAACTTTAGAACCTGACCTGATATATTACAATAAATACAACAGACTGAATTATGCATGTGTCCAACACATCTAGCACATATATGAGGTGCATTCAAAAGTTAAGTTACATTCACCAACTGTTAAAAAGATTTTTGATAGAGGTTGGCAACTCTGTCAGAATAGTTGTTTTACTATAAGGCTCAATTCACCTCAGTTGTTAGTAACATGACCTATTTAGCAGCTGGATTTCATACTGCCATTTTCCAACGAATTGTACTTCTGAAGTCAGATATGAAATTCTTGAAGTGTTCTGCACATGCTTTATTTACCTGCCTTATCTGTGATTTCTGGCTGTTCCAAAAGATGAAAGATTCACTTTGAGAAATCTAGTATCAGTCAAGAAGTAAGCTGGAAATGTTAAGTTACCAAAGCAGAAAAAACAAAGAAAGGACTTGGTGCTGAGAGGTGAACACAGTCTATGCATTCCGTTTTCAGTAAAAGATCTTATTTTTACAATGCACCTCATAAATCAATGTTTATACTTTTCACAAAGTCAATGTTCAGATTTAACTCACACCACTGATTTTCTATGTGCTGTAAAGCTCATGCTAAGATTCTAGAATGCCATATTGGGAAAAACACAGAGGCAGTGCAGTAAGAGAATAAAACTATCTTTGGAGAGGATTTTCAGCAAAAGACTATGTTCCATAATTCAACACATAATTGAAAAGATGCGACAAATTCTGAAACCCATGTAGCATTTATCAATTATGCAAAGGAATTCAAAGAAACGTCATGATAAAAAATGTGGGAAATATTTCATGCCACACAATTTCCAAACCATTTAAAATATGGAGAGAAAAATCACCGTGCAAAAGAAAGTTACTACAGAGATTATGAGTGGAGCCAGAAAAGGGGGGCTCTTGTTAACCATAATATTTATTTAAATGAAGACATGAGAGAATGATACAACAATTTGGATATAAATTTTATTATTGCTAGTAAAAAAATAAACCATTTAGTACTTATTGCTGATGATCAACTACTAATTTTTAGAACACATTATGAGTTCCAAAAAGCAATACATAGATTACAAATGATAACCCAGGAATACAATTTAATACCCACATTTATAAATAAAAACAATCACTTTTATACAGACACATCTAGTACCTAAACTAGTCACTGAACCTAAAACATAAGGGTAAGCTTTACTTTTCTGGGGTGCAGTATCTCATATAAACAACAAATACAGATATAGAGGAAAATACCTAAATTCCAACCTGTGGCACAATATGAGGAACTAATTACTAATTAACTACCTCTATGGAGCAGAGTCCTTTTTGAGAAGCTAATACACGTAGTTCCTTGGCTAGTCAAGAAATTCTCAAAATTTTATGGAACCTGAAGGTGCTTTACCATGTTCACAAGAACCTGCTACTGGTTACTATCATGAGACAATTCTGCCCATACTTGTGAATTCCAGTTTTTCAAGATCCATTAAAATATTATTCTCCCATCTATGCCTAAGTCTTCACCAATGATATCCTTCCTTCAGGGTTTCCTACCAAAACTTCGCATGCACTTCTCTCATATATGCTACATTTGCTGTCATTCTCATCCTCCTTGATTTGATTGTTCCAATATTTGGCAAGGAACAAAAATTTTGAAGTTCCTCATCATTAAATTTTCGTCAGCCTTCTTTTACTTCTCTGACATCCAAATATTCTCCTCAGCATCCTGTTATGAAACACCATCAGTTTATAATCTTCCTTTCATGTGAGAGCAAGATTCACAGCTATTATTGCTAGTGGGGTAGGACTAAATCCCTTGTACTGCGGCCACTTCTGGCCTAAGATTCACACCTAAATAAAATGACATGCAAAATAAATTTTATTAAACATTACAAAGAAAACTGGAGAAGAGATATGTGAGTAGAACAAACACCAGCAAATTCCCAAAAGCAACACTAGGATTTCAAGACAATGAAGAGGTGGACAGAAAACTAGAAGACTGTAACAGGAGGCCCTAATGCCTAATACTTGAAAGGACAAAGAAGTTATGTTTTAACCCTGCACAATATGAATAACCTTAAAAATGTTAACAAAATACAGAAAATAAAAAAAAAATTATAAAACAATAGCTACCACTCTACTGTCACATGGCTCCAAAATATGGACAATGACAAAGAAAGATAAATGTAAAGTACAAATGCATGTTCTAGGCTCAGCAGCTGAAGTATCACTGACCACCCACACATCCCCAAAAAACCACAGTTTGTGACTAACAACACGGTTATCATTCCCCATCCTCCCAACTCGCCAGACTTACTGACATATAGCCCCACTTGCAAAAGGTGCATAGAAAAATATGAATTAGGCACACACAACCTATGTGACTGTGAGGCTATAGCTTACCTAAGATTTCACCACCTGGGCCATTACCTCATGGAGCCAGGTGGCTACTGAGATGCACATGTAAGTAAAATACTACACTTCAATTCAAAGTATAGGATTGTTGAAGGATTGAAATACTGGGGAATGCACAACAGATCACTGAAGGGCCAGTCTAGGCCTATCCCTTATGCATTCATTCCTCCATTTCACTCAGTTCTGTCAAAAAACAAAATTTTGGGTTGTTTCATATTTGGGCTTATCTGGTATTTGACTCCTCCAAATGAGACAATTAAATATAACTGATTATAAATGAGAACACATTATTTGAATAAGTCTGAAGTCTACTTTAATAATCTTGATCATGCAATGAGGGCTTCTCAGGTCATCAGCTGTGTCAAAATGGAGTTAGTATTCTAACTCGTTTTTTACACAGCTGATCCATGACAACTTCTTTTTGTCCAGTCACCACAAAAGCTTCAAATCTTGGACCTGATAAATACAGGTTTCATTTTGGAAGCTAGACAGACATATTGCTGAAATGTTCCTTAAGTTACTGGTACAGAGACCGAAAGGTGAGAATAATAGCAGGCACTGATATTACACTTCCAAATCAAATTCCTAGTGTAAAACTATAACAGACCACTATGCCAAAGATGTGGGAAACTGATAATGATACTGTGACAGGATGCCTAAAATTCATGAACTTCAGAATGTTAGAACTGCATAAATGTTACAGAGTCATCCATTTGCTATGAGACAAATACACGAATCCCTATCAGCCACAACAACTGAGATACTGTTTAGCTCAGTGTTGCCTGGGCAATCCACAACAAGGCGATATAAGAAAGCATGCTTGAAGAGTCATTGCTCTCATTGTCTGAGAGTTACCAGGTTACCTCAGCACTGCAAGGGACTATGTATATGATGATGGAGTGCCCAAGAACCAAGCTACAAGAGTCAAGCAATTGGTTGTGAATGAATGTAAATACTTGTAACAGTTGTATATAAAAGTAATCAGCATCAAATAAAATGGACTTCCAATCTGAACCCATTGTGTACTGAGTGGCACGTGACAATATAGCATACAACATGTTACATGAGTACTGGAACTCTTCAATTACATATGATATCCTATAAAAAGAACTAAACTGCTACTTCCTCCTCTTCTGGTAACATTTCATATTCTCTCTGCTGTCCAACATTCTTCACCTTTCATTTTATTCCATACTTTTACACCATTTTTAAACTATTATCAATCTCAACAACAGTCATCCTTTGGGATCTTTATTTTGAGATTCTTATTTCCAGATAAATTCTAAGCATTTTATATATATCCATTCTTTGTCAAAACCATTCCATTATCTTCACTCCTAGTTCCTCTATGGACCCTGGAACTCCAAATACATTTGTCTCATTCTACAAATTGCATTCTTCTACCTATCTTCCTGCAAATAATCACATATTTTTAAAGTCCCATGACCATATAAATCTTCACTCTTCTATACTGAACACATTAATGATACTCCTAAGATTGTGATGTTCATGATTTAAAAATGCAAACGTTCTGGGAGACATTTGATGACATAAATAATTATGACATTCATTAAAATTGGCTAATTTGTTATAAATATTATTGGAAATGTCACAGTTACAGATAACATGCACAACACTGAATACTACAGTTGCAATTCTGTTCAAAAGGAAGTTCACAAACCAAAAGCTTTCATGCTAATGCTCTGTGTGGCAATACAAGCATACTCTTCACATTGATTCCAATTTAAACTACATAACCCATCTCCCAAGCACAGACACACATGTCAAACAAGCATACAAATGTACTTCTCAGCAGTCATAATTTGGAACTTAGAGAAAATGTGAAAACTAACATGAACCATCAGTTTAACTACAGACTTAAGAAGAATGGAAAGGTGTACTCCAAACTGGAGAACTATATCTTACAAATGCATTCTTTGTGATTTTACATGCCTTATTGACTTTGATGTCTATTTATTGCTTATATGTTTGGGCTGTGGGAAACTTCAACTCATTTGTTCTTCATATTCTTAAAAGTGTACCCTCATTGATTTAAATCCCATACTCTTTACCAGGCATCATTAAAGTGATCAAATTAAAGGAACATGCAAGAGAAATGAGATGGGATATATAATCCCATCTCATTTCTGTTGCATGCTCCATCAATTTCATCATATCCCACATGATATATATTGTGACATGTTGCGCAACGGAGGACCCCTACCTCCCCAGCGGCACGTGGCGGTAACGTAGCGCTCCCTCCCCCACCCCCTCCGCGGTGACATAACGCGCAACGAGCGGTGACGTAAGACGGCGCGAGGTAACAGCGTTGCTAGGCTATACGCCA